ACCTCACACTATGGTACCTTGATTAGCATCATTTCTATGTTTTCATCCGTGGTTCATGTGCTTCAAATGGTTATTGATGATAATCCCAATGACAGTGCGGCTGAAGCAAATAAGTTAATGAGAGTGATACTTACTTTTAAGTTTGTGTTTCACCTTTTCTTGATGAAAGTCATATTGGGACTCACAAATGATTTGTCACAAGCATTGCAAAGGAAAGATCAAGAAATTGTGAATGCAATGGTTTTAGTGAAATCATGCAAGGAAAAGCTATATTGGATGAGGAATAATGGGTTCGATGCATTGGTTGATGAAGTATCTTCTTTTTGTGAAAAACATCATATTGATGTTCCTAACATGGAAGAGGCATTTATACTTCCAAGGAGGTCAAGGCGTTATGCTCCAATAAAGACAAATCGTCATCATTATCGTGTGGAGCTCTTTATTTATGTCATTGATGAGCAAATTACGGAGTTAGAGGATCGCTTTAATGAGGTAAATACCGAGTTGCTTATCTGTGTGGCATGTTTGAGTCCGAAGGATTCATTTGTAGCTTTTGATAAATCAAAGTTACTTCGTCTTGCTCAATTTTATCCTCAAGACTTTTCGGATGAAGATCGTTTGGCACTTGAAGATCAACTTGAGATTTATATTCATTATGTGTGTTCCAGTAGTGATTTCTCTCAATTGGAAGGGATTGGTGATCTTGCAAAAAAAATGGTGGAGACAAGGATGCATCAAGTATTCAATTATGTATATTTTCTCATTACATTGTCTTTAGTTTTACCAGTTGCAACTGCTTCAGTGGAGAGAGCATTTTCTGTCATGAATATTGTTAAGGGTCCACTTAGGAACAAAATGGGAGATCAATGGTTGAGTGATAGCTGGCTTGTTTATATTGAGAGAGATATTTTTGCTTGTATTGAAAATGAAGCTATAATGCTTCGTTTTCAAAATATGAAACCTCGTCGTGGACAATTATAGTTTGTAATATTGTTTCCATTATGAATTATGAATGAAAGTACTATGATTTCATTTTCAATATGTTTTTCCATCCTAAATTTTTATTTGAACTTTTACACTGCGACCCCTTGGGGTAAGATTCCTTGCCACTGCATGTCATCATAGTAACGGAAAATCTCACGGTGTTGGTACCAAAGGACTAATGCTCCATATTTTGTCAAGTTGAAGGGCTAAATCTAATAGAATTTTAATTTAGGGACTAAAGCTACAATTCAATCAAAATTAAGGGACCATTTCTCCAATTTACTCTAAGATAAAAAGACCCTTTGTAATAAAAGCCAAGATGGTTTGATTGCTCCCTCCAAGCAATTTGCAAAACCGCCGTCCCCGCCACCGAGCGCAGAGAAACTGACAGACCAGAGAGAAGCGAAAATGGGGAAAGCAAGCTACAAGAAGTTAACCGGAAGCCAAAACCTAAGGCAACGGCTCGTACTGGCGGCGCTTGCGTCCACACCGGTTCTTATCGAGGACATTCGCGCAGAGGAGACATGGCCCGGCCTCCGCCCTCACGAGGTCTCCTTCCTCCGCCTGCTCGAGAAGGTCTCCGATGACTGCGTCGTCGAAATCAACGAGACTGGTACTCCTACTAGCTGTTTCCAAACACAAAAGCACTTGCCTTTTTTCGAATTTAGCGAAAAATTGAAGTTCCAATTTTGCGTCGGGGTTTAGGGTTTTAGGGTTTTTGAGAGATTGTGTTTTGGGTTTGAGCAGGTACAAAATTGAAGTTCAAGCCGGTGATAGTGATGGGTGGGAGGAATTTGGTGCACGATTGCGGGCTCAGTCGGGCGGTTGGGTATTTCTTGGAGCCATTGTTTGTGCTTGGTCTGTTTGCTAAAAAGCCGCTTACCATTACGCTTAAAGGTAACTGCTTTCGTTGTTGCGAATCTTCTCCGCACTTTTATTTTTGTTTAGTTGTTGTTTTCTATTGGTGTTCTTGTAGAATTGAAAGCCTCAAATTTATGGTTCTGGTTTTGATCCAAGTACGGAACATAAATTTATAACATTTTCATGCTGTAACATCGTTATTTTCTTTTATCAACAATCTCCCGGTAGCGAAAGTTGCCTATTGTATTCAAGACAATTCCTTGATGTTTATGGTACTGGTCTTAATATTGAGTCACAGATTAACATGGGAACAGAGAAGCTAATTTCTGATAGTTTTAAAATCTATCTATTCTGTTTTGTATTCCGACTAATTACCTTACTACCTATGAACAAATGACCTGACCCAATCAGTAACCGAAAAAGGGTTCTCCCCATATCATGGTAGATAGAGCACTGCAAATCTTTCGTGGGTGTCCATTTGAGCTTTAAGAAGGTGCTTCCACTTTATGAGTGTTTCATATTTTTCTGTTAGGAATACAAATGATTCCAAGGACCCATCTGTTGATACATTCCGGTCTACTACTTTGCCCATGTTAAAACACTTTGGAGTTCCCTCAGAAAGGCTAGACCTCAAAATACAGAGTCGTGGATCTGCTCCTCAAGGTGGCGGCGAAGTGTTCTTGTCAATTCCAATTGTTCAAAGTCTAACTGTGAGTTTCTGAGAATTTTGAGATACTATATATGTTTTTCACCATTTTTTTCAGTTTTGGATCCATTATTGTTTTATGTTTTGCTCTGTAGGCAGTCAACTGGACTGATGAGGGGATGGTTAAGAGGATTAGAGGGGTTACATTCTCAACAACAGTGTCCACTAAGTTTGAAAATACCATGGTGTATGCCGCTCGTGGAATCTTTAATCTCTTACTCCCAGATGTTCACGTATTTACTGACCATAAAAGTGGCCCGCAAGCTGGGCAGTATGTTCTCAATTTTTACCAAATATCATTATATTTTTTCTGTAGAGAGACATTTTAGAAGTTTGAAGTTCTTTATTTTGTTTTGAGGTTTGGTCATATTAAAGTGATCACTTAGGCTCATATAGACAATATGATTGTGGCAGTTCACCTGGTTATGGAATTTCACTGGTTGCGGAAACAACTTCCGGTTGCTGTATCTCTGCTGATACAGCAATTTCTTATTCTCGAGGGGAAGATATAGCTGAGCTTGAGGATGAGGGGAAGAAAGAGCTTATGCCTCCAGAGGATGTTGGTGTGCAAATTGCTAATATTCTGCTTGGGGAGATTGAGCAGGGTGGAGTGGTAGATTCAACACATCAGGTTCGTGATTTGATATATTGTACTTCCTTACTGGCTGAGTTTGACCCATTATCATGTTAGTTGTGAATGCAATTTCACATGGAATTCTTTTTTGTACTGTTGATTCATATAGTATTCCCGAAATGCGATTTAATGTTGATTTAAATGTAGTCCTAAAAATCGAATGATGCAAGTATGATGACTAATGTCTCCTCTTTTCAATTTTGTTAACGGCTTGTTCTATGACAGTGGTAAAATTACTAAAAGGCATTCTTACAAGAAATAGATACAGTATTTGGTTACAGGTTCCGTTTTTGTCCCTTTATGAATTCTGTCCATCTCCTCATAGTTTGCTGTCATTTTGGCTTGTAGGGCTTGTTGTTTCTTCTCTGTGCACTATTTCCACAAGACGTTTCAAAGGTTCGTGTTGGAAAGCAAGCTCTCCCCTCATGGAATAGAAACACTCAGAGACATCAAAGACTTTCTCGGAGTTAAATTTGTCATTAAGCCCGACCCATCTACAGGGACCGTCATACATAAGTGTGTTGGCTCTGGGTTAAGGAACCTTTCAAGAAGGATCTCGTGATTGTCACAAGAGGTATATGACTTTCTAATGTATTGGTGAGCGTTTCTTGGGTGGCAAAGAGTAGTTGGAACTCGGGGGCATTTCATGCACACACACTGTGGAGGAGGAATACATTCTAATGGAGTAGCTGGAAGAAGTTTTGGCAATTTTTGACCATGTACTCAAATTCGAACACCAATATCTATGCGTGCAGTTCATTATTTATGATACAAATTGGAACAACAGCTTCTTTCGGAGCGAAGCATATCGACTGTCGTTGCCTCCAAAATCAAATGCCTTGTTGGTCTGCTTGTATTAACATGATGGAATTGTGAAATCGAAATTACTTAATTGATTTTCATGTCATTCGATGCATTTTCTTTTTAAAAGCTTTGAATTGCAACAGTTGCTTCAGCGACAGCTTCTTCCACTCCATACATCGAAAGATTGAACTTCTAGATGTGAATCTTGTCCGTCTCTAATAAATTCTACCAAATAAGCGACCCCTTCCAACTTTATTTGGTTCAAGATAAGTTAAACATCAGAGTACGCGATAAACAAGATTACAAAATAATAAGAATATATTTAATAAACAAGAATGCCGAGACGTTTACAAAACCTAAAGAGACTACATTTGACTACCTTATTATTCATACTAAACTGCAAGTTATATTTACATAGAGCAGAACCTAGAAACTCTAATTCGGATGGGCTAGACCTATATAGTTAAACTAACAAGTAAATCCAAATAATCATAAAATTTTAATATTTTCCAACAAGAGAAATTTGTTGCAGCACCCGTTTCCGCGTTGTCCCGTGACCAATTTGTCATTTTGATTGGGGAGCTTTAGGGGTATCCATTGGTTATCCTTTCCCATTGCTATATATATAATTAGATTAAAGAATCACAACCTTAATCGATGAATCTCTTTCAAAGATGGAGCTAGAATTAAGTTAGAATATCGCTCGAATAAAAGTAAGTAACCTCATGTGAGAGGTATTTTTGGGAGTTTCATATTGAATTTTGGGTGTTGAAATGAATGTTGGAAATTACTAGAGCTTAGCTCAAGTCGTTGGAAGCATGCGCGTCTGCGCATAAGGTCTTAGGTTAAATTCTCCTCATTCCCATGCTTGTATCACAAAATAAAATACGAAAATGGACTAAATAGCCCTACACTAAAGACCCAAGATATGAGGTTGGGCTAGGCCTATATATAATCACCTTGGACCAAATTGTAAACTAAGATATGAAAAAGCGCGGGAAAGGTGGCCCATACGTAGCCAAATTTGAAGAAAGCAAAACGAGAGAGAAAGAGAGAGACTGAAACATTGATACAGAAATTAGGGTTTTTATCTGAACAAAATTGGGGGCAAATCAAATGGAGCAGGGCACCCAAGGCAGCATAGTTCTGAGAAGACATGGAAAGGGAGAGTCACAGGAAGAAGAAGAAAGAGCGGTGGACTTGAGTGGTCAGGTGCACCTCCTCCCCTGCTCCATCAAATTCAATGGCCCTTCCAATGTCTCCCAATACTTCAAACCCAAACCAACTGGTAAAAATCTGCCCTTTTTTCTTACATACAATTTACATGGCATAATTGAATAATGGGCTTTTTCTTGGAGTTGAAGGAATCGAATCGGAGGGTTTAAGGACGCAGGAAGCTTGTTTCAGAGGAAGGAAGTTGCAAGGAGCTTCGATTTCGGTTCCAGATGGGTATTCTGGTATGTCATTGCAGTTTCAGTCAGTAAATTCAGTACCTTTTTATTGCATTGTATGAGTTCTGGTTGTTGACGCCTTATCTTTATCGATTTCTTCATCACTTTCCGGCTTATTTAGACCTCGGTGCTTCTGTATTGATGTTTAGAGTTGGGATTTTATAGCGCCGAATAAAGATTCTGACTTTAGGTCTGAGATTTTCGGAAAGCTAACTTACTTTAAATTGTAAACATTACCCTTTTTAATTGGTGAACCCAAGTTTCATCCACTTTCCTCTTCAATGATAAGTTTTGGTTATCTCATAATTTCTTGGTGCTTTAATCTCTCCGTTACTTGCTTTTAGGCCTTATGGGTTATTACCATGCGTTTGTTATAAACATTTTTCGTAGTTCAGCATCATGTTTCATGTTTGAAACACCATGGGTCCGTGGCCAAACCTTTTCCTTTTCTACACAACTTTATAGTGCATTCTGTCATTTGAGGGCAAGTTGTTGGGTTCTGCTGGCGCCTTTACTGTGGAGCATAGGTGAAATTGATGTTTTCATGGTATCAGATGAAAGTGATGGGAGAGAGAAATGGGACCTGGAAAGAAAATCATGTGGTAAATTAGTAGGAGGTTCAGATGTGCTTTTCCTTGATTTGTACACCATCGATTTCATGTTAGTATGTATCAAGGAACATGATGTTAGTGTTGGTGGATGGAATAGATAGTGCTTCTTTGACGGAAATTATCTTGTGCCATATGATTAGAATCTTGAGATCCTGAGGCTAGGGCCTATATTGCAAGGCAGTGGTGGGTGTTGCAGCTGTTACTATATTGATCCTTGGTTTCTCAAAACCAGAGAGACAGTGAGGAAGTGTTAACATTTAGAAATGAAGAAGAAATTAGAGAAAACGGGAGTATAGAGTCTATAGACTCGGCCACAAAGAAAATACTCCGGTGACTCCACAGGCCTATAACCAAATCATGGTTGTTTACTATTTGATATTGTGAGCTGACCTTTGGGACTTCGATATAACAGAGAAATGGCGAGCAATCGTTTCTTGTTTTGATAGTGTTGACTATTGTTGTGTCCTATAACTGATCCCACCCATTGAGTTGTATGTCAGCAGTTACCACCTCCATCTACCATACTTTTTCTTCAGCAAAATGAAATAGATTTCTTAGGGGCTTGGAGACAGGTGTGGTCGGGAGAGGCTACAATTTCATGGGATGGGAGATACCCTTGTTAATTCAAGATGGTGGTGTTGTATATATGTGTGACAACAAAAGGTTTCTCTTCGTATGTTGTTTTCGATTGATGTAAATGACTAAATTCACTTTCAATTTTCAAAGAGTTCCTCTGTAGTAATTTCTTTGCAGGATTTGTTCTAGGGAAGAAGAGTCTTGGCAAGAGAAATCTTTCCGATAATTCTGATGGGAGCTCAAACTGTTGGGAGATGAATGCGAAATATAAAAGCATCACATATTGGAATCACGACAGCCTTCCTTCACAGGATGATGGATTCTTGCGTTGTTTTCACTGGCTTTCTGTAGCAAAATCTGTAAGTTTGTGCTCGACAATACGGTGGTGCATGAATCTTTGGTACATTACTCTATGGCCATGTGTGTTGTGTCTGTTGGCAACTTGGCATGGTTTCGTTTTCATGGAATAATTATGATGAACTTCAATATTTACGTTCCCGCAAAGTCTTTTGCTTTTTAAAAACTGAAATCCCCCCATTTTTCTTATTGTTTTTTGGATCTTGTTGAAAAATATTACTAGTTTACTATTTGAAGGGTAATCACCTGTTCTTCCAGTCACTTTACACCAGATATTTGCTTATGGCTGCAGATGCACAAACCCACAACAGCCGAAGATTTGGTTTCTGCATCAGCTGCTTTGGAAAAGATGAACTGATTACCCTTTCCCCGCGAGTTCTTTGTACTAAAAAAAAAGCCAAAAATCTCAAAGTACTTGTATCTCTCTCTTGGTAGAAATTAGCATCTTTGTATTTTGAATGCTTGTAGGTTTGTAATTAATAAAAGTTGTATTGGCAGTCGAATTCCTTGAAAGTTTGATGAACCTCATCTTGAAATTGAAGCTTGATTACATTAGCTACTGAATACACTTACAAGTGAAGTATACGCTTGCGAGACGAACACATATTTCTGTGTATGCTTGGCAAGATTCTTTTTAATTAATTTGGGATAACTCGGTTCTTTTTTTCGTCTGAACAAACACATTTTGAGTAACAAGGCTTGATAAACTTTTTTGTTATTCTGCAGCCTTGAATGAGATGTCAAAAAAGATCATAACTTTGCTATCTTAGTCGGGAAGAATTCTAAAAGTCGAAGCAAAAACTAACATACTGAAACTCCCTTTTTCTCCCTTCGGCACCGGCATACGTTTCTATCAATGAGAATATCTAATGTCTATCATTAAGGAATAAGATCCCTTCTAGCTGGACATACACATATCACCGAAGAATGAAACTCAAATTGCATATTGGATTCTAAAAACAAGGGTCGACAAGTACTCAATTTAGATTAACGTTAAAGTAAATATTTGTGCAAACTACCTAATTCATTTAGGGATGTACTGTCCACACACATTTTTTTACTTCTCACACACATCTCGTTAATTTTTGTTATTTGATATTCTTCAATTCATCTGATCTGATAACCGAAAATTAATAAAATATGTAAGAAGTAAAGAGGGATATGTGGATATCACACTCCTTCATTTATTGGAGAACATTGTCGAGAGGTTATGTAATTCAAGATATCTCATCTATCGTCTTACATCTGTCCAATCTTGGGAGCACCGTTGGGCGAACTATAACATGGCCAGCAAACCTTTTACACTTGAATGTAAGTTGCCAATTAAATTCACTAGGTTGCGGCCGAATCAACTCTAATTGCCAACGTGCATTCAAGTCTAGAAATTTTGTTGACCGTCCAAATACACCCTCTATATTGAGAGATTTTTCAGTAACTGTGACATAAGGTGGTACACCACGTGTCTCTATATAAATAATGAGTTATGTGTGTTAAAGGGTTAATAATTTAAAAATTAAAATTTTCCACCATTTATATAAACACACTTGGTGTACCATCTGTATTCCCGTCACAACTAAATTTTTTTCCTATATATTAGTGTATCTGTGTATCTAGAAGATGAAAGACGGTAAATAGAACATCTTAAATCGAGTAATAAGACCTTTTTAGTTTACTTAAAAATCTCAATCACTATGAATAAAAGTGGAGCAATTCATGTGGACTTTATATGTATTTCATATTAATACACTAGTTTGCTGGATAAGTGTGATTGTTAGGTAAACTACATTTCATAAAATATTCATTCTTTTGGACAGTGATACATCATGGAACTTTTCATTGTGTGTTTAACAAAACAACCATATGAGGGTGGGGCATCTTACATGCTCACAATTTGTTTCTTCTAGGACAAGAATTTCTTATGTGGATGTTAAAGGTCCATCTATTAATTACGTAGTATTACAATCCAGTGATATTTTTCTTCACTTATAAGTGAAAGGTTTTAGGTTCGAATCTCGTATATGACGAGTTCATAACCAATTTATTCCCCATGCCCCTTATGAATTAACTTGTTAACAGGAAGAGGAACCAAATAATTTTCATAACTAAGAATCAATTAGAACATGGCAGCTCTTGAAACAGAGTTGGTCTCATTTTCCAGAAAGCCGGTCTATACTATTTTGTAAATCTCGTAGGGAGCAATGAAAGAGCTGAGAGATACAGGAAAACAAGGGTAGAGTCAAAGTTTACATTACAAAAAATAATTTGGAATATAGGTCAAGGTCTCCTGTAACATGTAGAGCAGTGTTACCTTTTATGCAGAAGCACTTGTAATTTTGCTAATATAATACGTTATTAGCATTCGACATTTTTTGTTACAGCTTACGCAAAATTAGAAAGTTGCTATTTTAGTTGGAAGAAATTCGAAGGAATAAAAATAAAAACGAATAAACTGCCGTTTTCTTCATTTCTACGGGCGATGTTTTTGTCCACCACCAAAATTTAATACCTTAGTTTGATGTGGCTGAAAATCCTTGCACATTTGGGAATTAGAAAAATCACAAGGGAATATGACCTCTTTCTAGCTGGACACAGATATAACATCAAAGAATGAAACCCAAATTGCATATTTGATTCCAATCGACCAATGAGTGCCAACCTTCATGTAATATCACTGATGTGTGCTTGAAAGAAGTTTAACTTTGCTATCACTTTCCTCATATAGTAAATAGTTTAAAAGTTTACAACTATTAGCAATACTAGCACTACAGTTTAATGGTAGTTTTTTCCACTTATAAGTTTGATGTTAGACCATTCTTTAACTCATGGACCTCCACTATTGGCAATATTTGAACGTTACGCTATTATATTTTTTAAATTCAATTCACCATATAATATAACACGAGGTTCCAAATTTGAATTCTTCCACGACGCGTTTGGCACCTAGGATTGATATTTGAGGGGATCCATTTCAAAGTGGTTTGCGTCACCAAAAGTGTACATAAGTTGCAAAACATATACCCTTGGAAAAGAATTAACCAATAGCCGTTGGGGGGTGGTGGTGGGGTGGCGCGGTAAGGGAAGAATTATTCCAGTTTCTCTTCTGTCACAATTATGCCTTTCGTGGTAACTTCCCAAAAGCGTAAAGGCAATGAAAGTTGCGAAACAATATATTCTTAATATTATTCTTGTTATGGATGTCCGTTTCTTGATGAAGTGGAGGCCTCCATTGAAAATTGAGATCAAGTTGATCAAGATAAGCTCTATATAGGAACCGGATTCCATCCTGAGCTTAGGAGGAGCCTCTTGAGCAAAGGATTTGGACCGTTGAAATTTGATCCAACGACTGCAATTATTATAACTTTTAGAGGAATCCCTTATTTGTAACTGTTGAATCAAATTTCAACGGCTCAAATCTTTTGCTCAGGAGGCTCAGCCTTCTAAGCTCGGGAGGGGATCTGGTTCCCTCTATATATGTGACGTGTCAGTGTGAGTGGACTTGGTTGGCAAAAGCCAGCTGTACGTACGTAGCATGCATGCAAAGCCAATTGAGATTGCATACTGCGCGCGTTTGTTAGTAGCCAGTAACCCTTATTGACCCTTACTTATGCTTTGGAGTTATATATGTTTTTAGTACTCAAATAGGCTTACAGAATTGATCATGATCAAATGCTTTATGGGTCGCCTCAGATCTTGCAATTGGCCTTTATCCATAAATGTCGAGGCTTAATTCTAATACTAATTTATATTTTACATAGTAATCGAAGAAAATAAATTGACAAATTTTTATGAACATGTCGCACGTTGGAACATTTAATACCATTTACTAGCAATCCGACTATATATACACGCACACGCACACGCACATATATTCTTCTTTTAAAAAGCTAATAAGGAACCTTTTTGTCAAAATAAAAGGCAAAGAACCTTCAGCACAAGTCCAAAGCAATCACTTTATTCTCTATACATAATTCAATTTTATTATCAATTTGTTTTGGTTTCACATTTTGTTTTGTTTTGTGGTAGCATTAGATTCTTTTCTTCCCAATGGATCATGGATTTATAAAAAGGCTAGGTTAGAGTAGAGGTTCTCTATCTTCAAAACTGCGCCAAGAGAAACATAGAGACAGAAAACAAGAAAACATAACTGCAGCAGAAGAAGAAAGAAGAAGAAGAAGAAGAAGAAAACCGAGTTAGGTTTCGAAATGTCTATGACGACTAAACCTCATTTCCAAGCAGAGCAAGATGAAGTAAAACAGGAGGTGATTATTCATGTTATAAGGCCTCACAAATTTCTTAATTCATTGCTAAATGTCTTTTTAACATCGGAAAACAATCTTTCGCATATATCTAATTCGTTTCTGTAAAAAGAGATTAACTGTATATTCGTGTTTACAGGGAAATAAGTACATCTTCAGACCACGGGGACTTAACATTGTATGGGGCAATGATGAACGCTACTGGAAGTTACCTAAGAAGTAAGGAATCAATTATCTCAACTATGAGAAAAACCTTAGATGTAATCGGTTATTTACAACCGGTATAGAGAAATATGCTATAAATGCTAATCTCATTTCTCATAAGTACGGAATCTACACGGCTACTCCACTTATGCGTGCTTGTTCCTCCTTCTGAGATATGTGTTTTTGGTAAATGTCATGTTTAGACAGTCTCAGTTTGTTATTTTGCACTCGTTAAGGTTTAATAGAATAACAAAATAATGATTTTAGAGTGCAGAACGACATATTGAGAGTGTGAATAGAAGATGCATTGAATTATGTTCAGCTTCGCCTATATGAATAATTTACTACATACTATACATTTTGCAGGCAATCTAAGGATGAACCTACTGAACCTGCGGAGCTGATACAGGTTTCTTGGTTGGAAATAACCGGATCATATAGTTTATCAACTGCAAAAAAATACGAAATTAGTTTCGACGTAGAACTGGCACCTGATGCATTTGGTTGGAGAGACATACAAGCTTTCTTGATGGCCAAGGTAGGGAAAAAGGGTAAGTACACTTGGACCAAAGTTAAAGTAGCAGCGCAGGATACAAAAGTCGGTAAATTCAAAATTCCTGATGACAACGGCCCGCCAATGAGAATTGAAGTTCCGTCCAATGCTCCGGATAGCACGGTTTATTTTGGTCTGTATGAAGTCTGGAGTGGAAAATGGAAGGGGGGCTTGAAAATTCATCAAGCATCTGTGAAAGAAGTATAACTCCGAATTAACTTAATTAGTCCACATACGGTTCACGCGGTATTTTCTACGTATACAGTACACGTACGTATTGAAATATTTTATAGTTTATATATGTGACTATTTAATAATGAGAACAGGTCTCATATAAGATAATTTGTATACCAGTATGAAGGTATTTGCTACTACAGCTTGTATTTGTATCTCATAAATGAATAAATTCTTTCTTATATATATATATATATATATATATATATATATATATATATATTGAGAGCCAATTAATGAAATGCGTGTATGTCTATACGCACACAAGTATGTGGGCAGTTTTAGCTCCAAATTTTCAAAGGGATGCACTAAAACACTCAGAACTCAGAAGGCTGAAATTCCATCAGGACAATCAATCGCTTCTCACGGAATTTAAACATATAGCGTACTCTTATGAGCTATGGGAACTATATATACTTACATATAGATGTGTTGAAGCTGCAATTAATTCCCAGTTTCTGCGTAACGTTATTCGTTAATTAGGACAGATATAGAGGCCGTTTATCTTCCTCTTGGTACTGAACAAAAGTGAGTTTATATACGATAAATCATGATTATGTAGTTAACTAAACAAAACTCATTTTGAACATCTATAGAACTCGGGTTCATAAGTTCGCATGATTATCGTAACCCTTTCGGTCCTTTGTGAATTCTGAGTCACTAACAAAAAAGGAACTTAGCGACAACCTTCCAACTGCGGGAGCAAAAACTCGGCCAGGGATCTGCCGTCCCGAACTTTGTGTCTCCTGCAATGTCTTCTTCTAATTATCTCATTTAACTTAACTCCCAATTTAACGGTGTCAACTTTTCTTAATTAATATTTATTTAAATACAAAAACTGATTCACTAAAGAAAATTGAAAATCAGAACAAAAAGAAAACAAATCCCAACTGGAAGTCCGAAAGTCTGCAACTCCCTCCAATCTCAGTCGGCGGCAATTCACACGGCCGTTGAAGCTTCCATTACATTCTCTCCTTCTATATCTCACCAGCGAAGTCCCGTAGGATGATTGAGTCGAACCTTCCCGTATATAATGATCTCGCCGTTTATTGTCATCGAGTCGATTCAAATCTCGTTTGTATAGATTGACCAGATTTCTTCCTTGCTTCCTCAAACCAAAATTTACATAAAATTTGATGTTTGACGGGTTGGGTCGATCATGATTGGGTATTTGAACGGAGAAAAAAAATGGCGAACAGAGAGAAAAGGAGGTTTCGCCAGCCGTGGAGTCCGATGACAGATCGGTGTTGTTGGCTGTCGAATTGGTGTTGATGGGAATTTGAGTGGCTGTTGGTTTTAATTTTTTAACTTTTAGTTTTTATTTATCTCTACTAATTAATAAAAAAATTTTGTCAACTAAAATAAATGAAAAGAAAAATTAATTTTCTATCATACAAAAAAAAATGATGGGTAATAATGTAATTTCACAGGTTCTCCACGTTCTCTCTCTCCCTCTCTCCTTCTCATTTTCTAAAAAAAATATGTTCATACACACAAAGTACGTAAACAAATGCTAATTTAACCTTATTAAAAAAATTTAGACAAAAAAAAAAAACCTTGTTAAACATTTGACACTGTTAAATTACAAGTTAAATTAAAGGACGTAATTAGAAGGGGACATGAAAGGGGACTCAACTTTCAACTATTATGTTAGGGGTACATTAGGAATTTTGTTGACCAATTTATTTAATGCCTATTATAAATTGCAAAACGAGGCAAATTTTTTATTTTCAACAATAATATTGACACAGGGTAATTTTCATTGGTTGGGAACTCCACTTAAGCTAATGTGCTGGTCACCTAGGAAATTTTTTCGTTACGTTGAAGGTTGTTCCGGACCTTCGGTAGTCTTCAATTTAAATTCTACAGGGTAGATTTCCAACTTCTATAATGCGTAGGAAAAGAAGATGGCTTTCAAACATATTGTAAACCAGTAAAGGAAGCTTCTCCAATCGATTTTTCCAAAGTAAAACAAGAATTTAAGATGATAGTAATCAGTTGCAAATTCGAAGATTACTTTATAAACGGGATTTACTCAAATCGATTTTTCAAAGTAAAACAAGAATTTAAGATGATCGTGATCGGTTGCAAATTCGAAGATTACTTTATAAACGGGAATAATACATCGGATGTGATGCCTTATCTAAGAATAAAGCTATTTTTATGCAAAATGGAATATATTTGATAAACAAACAAAAGTTTTACTTATTGGAATAAAAAAAATTTCCAAAAATGCTTTCCGATCTAGTGCTTTCCCACATGGTTGAAATTCCAAAGTTTCCAAGCCATTGCTTGCCAATTCATGCTTTATATCAACATAACCGAAAACTAGAGAACAAAAGGTTCGCAAGGCATCTTTCTTGAGTTTCAAGCTACAACTCTCGTTCTCGTCCGCACGTTGCGGTGACTGGTGGAAATTACTAGTTTAGCCGTCTTGCTATCTATATAAAGTAAAAACATCACCGGTTTGAAGAACTGCATGCAGAGATGGGGACTGGGTGGTCACAAGATGGGGCCTCACAGTCACAGTCGCAGCCGCCTAGTGAGCAACCGACTAATAATAAAGTAGCGGCAGAGAAAGAAACAGAAGCAAAGCCGACTGTCTCTAAAGCCACGGTGATAGAGAGAACAGCTGCTGATCATCAGGCCAAGCCCTCGGCGAATAACAACCAGGAAGCCGCAGCAGCGAAAGAAGTCAAGGAAATAGAGAAAAGGACAGCAGCACAGCAAGTTAGGCAGCAGCAGCAGCAGTTCCCACATAACTACGAAGCCCTTGTGAAAGATGCTGACACACCTATCAACAAGTCCTCAATTGAAAACCTCTTGCAGCAGCTCCAAGCAGGAGTTCTCTTAAACCAAAAGAAAAAGGTGAAATCCCTGCATCTAACTTTCTGACAATTTTAAATTATTTTTCCTATTTGTTTTTCAGTTATTGTGTGAAATTATCAAACATGCTTCAGAAATGTGAAATTGTTCTAATTCTTACTAAAATTTAGCTCCAAATGATCAAAACTAAAGCAACTTATCTGGAAATGATTTTTGCACACTCCTTTTCTCCCTCTGGACACTCATGTTTGTTTATAGCTTTGAATATTTGTATAAACCAAAGGAAAATCGCTTCAAGGGCAGCAATAAACAGGGTGTGCAAAAGAAGAAAATGGGTGTGCGGAAACCATTTAATCCTTAAATATATCAAAAGATCAACTCTTAATAGGACTTGAAATATCAACAATCATTAGCAATTTAACTGTTATTGCAGAAGTATTGGGTTGATAAGAAGTCCAACAACTGTTTTATGGTGTATGCAAGATCTCTCTATCACTTGGGCTGAAGACAATCGTTACTGGCACTGGTACTCCCTGCAAGAAACCAGGTACCAAAATCTTCAATCCGTATATCACAATTGATTCTTGGTTACTGCTATATATATAGAAATCGGTCCTAACTTAGGGTTTAATTGCAGTGACGTCTTCATTGATGCTGCTGAACTGTTGAATGTATGTTGGCTAGAAGTGCACGGGAAGTTTGAAACCGCAAACCTGTCACCCGGAACTCTTTATGAAGTTGTATTTGTGGTCAAGCTGAACGCTGCAGATTATGGATGGGAAGATCCGATCAATTTCAGGCTCACTCTCCCTGATGGTACCAGGCAGTGCCGTAAAGTTAATCTGATGCAAACCCCAAGAGGACAATGGGTCGAGATCCCAGTTGGCGAGTTTAGAGCATCGCCTGAGAAATCTGGCGACATGGAGTTTTCGATGTATGAATATGATGGCGGGAAATGGAAGAAAGGGCTTGTTATCAAGGGTGTCGTCCTTCGTCCTAAAAACTAAGTTGCACTGTACTCAGCAACCTCGCTTACGAGCTGAGAAATAACGTTCCGTTTTTTTTTTTTTTTTTTTTTTAGTAAAGCAGAAATGAGAGAAGTGCTTATGTAAGAAATGGTCCGAACAGAATAATGCAACGATGATCCACTTTTAACTACTGCCCAAATTCCGCATTTTTCTTTCTGCTTCAGTAAAGTGAGTACAGTGATTTCAGACAGGATCAATTCTTGACGAGAAAGATCGATGATGATCATTATCGACGATTATTTCTGAATTAGAACAATTCAAACATATTCCACTTGCCTAAAGCAACATAGGAAAACATGCTATGCTGTAATTAAACCCCTAAAGCAATATTCATATCAGTAAAGTAACACATGCTGAGATATAATATAGGGTAAATTACATTTTACCATCTTAGGTTTGGGATCGATTTCAATTTTTTACAATATCTTTAAAATATTTTAATTTCATACAACTGTTAAAAAATTTGTTAAGTTAACCGTTAAACAATGACAAAACAAATATGTGATCCTTATTTGTGCTAACATGACTATCACATTTGTGTCACGTGACTAAATACTTAATAAAAAAATTTAAACTATTAAAATAATCAATTTAAAAAAAAAAACCCCAGAATCCCTTCGACTTCCCCACCCGTTTCGCTCACGATACGGGATATTCGAATCGCGGACCGGTGGCCCTGTTTGTTCGTGTAGGCGACGGACGTGTCGCCAGAGATTTTAATCGGCGGAGGCCGATGTCTTCCGGGTTTTTATCCTCTACTTCGCGGTCCAGCCAGACTATCCGGCGCATCGACTTGGGCTTGTACCAGAGCTTGATGTAGTTCTTCCTCTGTTTCCAGAGCTTGGCGGAGGCGGCAATGCCGAAAACGATGTCGTTTATCTCCGTCGGCTGGTTTTCTTTATCCGGTTGTTGGGTTTTGAGGTGGATCATCTGGGAAGTCCGATCTTGGGCAGTTTGCCGGTGGAGGAGGAGGAGGAGGAGAGGCGGAGAGGGGTGAAAGGGTCGTTGTCGTCGGAGCAGGCGGCGCGTGAGGTGGAGACGACCTTGAGAGTGTAGACGATGTAAGTGAGAGGGACGAAGAGGAGGAGCTAGACGAGGAGTTGAGGGGTGGCTCGAGATTGGGAGCCGGGTCCAGGAATTGGGGTCCCTGTGGAGCTCCGCATCTGATCCCAAATCACTTTCTCTTGATCTTTATGGCTCCCTTTCATTTTTCTCTCTAAGTGCCTCTCTCCCTCTAAGCTCAACGCCTTTCGCTGCACTCTGTTTATTGAAGAAAAAAAATCAGAGGTTTTGCAGCACTGGGTTTTCAAAGGGTGTTATTGTGGGGGATATTTGGTTCCTTTGGGAACCCAATTGGGGCGGTTCAGATCTCTCTGAAAATTTCAATCAGTGGTGGAGAAAGATTGGGACTTTTGGGGGGAGAATTGGGGATTGAATGGGAATGAGGAGACCCAGTTGGGGGATTTGTGGGGTTAGGAGGTTTGGAATTGAAGAAAATGGGAGTGAAAAGGAGGAAGAAGATGAGGATGGTGTTGGTGTTGGTGTTGCAGAAGAGAGGTAAAGGTGAGAGCTTGCATTGCTTGCTGCCAGGTTGCACATAACATCCCCGAAGAGAGGGGTGGAGCCGTGGAGGGGATGGTGGGAGGTTCAGGGTTTTTTTTTTAATACTTTTCTTTAATTAATTTTTTTTAATTTTTTTATTTTTTTATCAAGTGTTTAGTGTAGCAGTATTATCAGCACAAATAGAGACCACATATTTGCCACGTCAACACTCAACGGCTAATTTAACAGATTTTTTAACAGTGATATGAAATTGAAATAAATGATAAGTAAATGTATAAAATTGAAATGTTTTAAAGATGTAAGAAATTGAAATCGATCTCAAACCTGAGAAGGTAAAATGTAATTTAAATATATCATGTGCGCTTGAAATGTACTTTACAGCGAACGTCACCAATGAAACAATGAGAGACCACCTTCCGGTGGAAGATACGTTCGCAGCACAATTGGCAAAAGCAAAGAAAAAAGAACTGTCAGCAGTGGCGGATCCAGGAAATAATGTTAGGGGGGTCAATAAGGATAGTGTGCAGTGCGCAAATTTTTTTTAACAGAAACGGCATGCATATCGTCGTTTCATCGAGTCTTGGTAAGATATCGCAACCAGCTACTCCAAAATCCTTGTTCAAAGGTCCTGAACGTTCAAACCTGGAGGAAGAGATTGCTTCAACTTGTCGGCCTTCTCAGAACCAAACACACAAAGTGTGTAAAGGTACTTGGAGCACCGAACCTTGAACTTGACAGCATCCTTGGTCCTCTTGATTTTGACATTGCGAGCATCCTTCCTTCTTGCAGTTAGAAGGAAATCCTTGATCTCATGGATCTGCTTCGGCATTTTGCTTGTTGCTCGGTCGAGACCGGAGGCTGCGAGTTCTCTCTCAATGTCCGAGGAGGCTATCAACACACCAGCATCCTCCTTCTTCTTCAACCTTGCAAGCGAACTCTTTCTTCTTCTTTCAGACATTTCGTAGACCACGTGATGTGCAGCTCCAAGAGGTCGCACTAGCAGCTCCCAGGTTATTTCCATGGCTTCCAAGGGGTCGTGTGACCCCATTGACCCCACTGTGGATCCGCCCCTGACTGTCAGGTGCATCAAATGTCTGTTGTGTAACCTTCGGGCTTGTTCCTTTGCTCTTAATTTCTCTGTTGCAGGTGCAATCCTCTCTAAAAGCTGCATTTTACAAAAATCAAATTCTAGAATTATTTATTTAAAACCACTAGTGCATTTAATATGATTACAATCTACGACGTCTTTTACAGGAAATCATAGCATTACAAGCTCTGTTACGGACTTACAGTAACTATATGCTCTACTCACTCGCCCCAACCTACCCTAACACAAAAATTGGAGGGAAAGAAATGGAAAGGGAAAGGAAATCTTGCCACTTCATGAGTAGAAACATACATCAAGTTAGGGGAACTGAATTGGCTTTTGACTCTTCGTAAATGGTTATATAAATTGTGAACAAGATTAGTGGTAGTAACGGAAAGGCAATGAAAAGTTAAGATCATGCGTTATAGAACCGTGGTTCGATCTTAACACGTAAGGTTTTGTAATTGGATTCTGGATAAAGCAGAATACTAACCTTGCCGTGCAGCACATCATTGGATACCAAGACAGATCTATCAAATACAGAAAATTTTCCGCCATCCATGCATGTAACCTTTCCTCCAGCCTCTTCAACTATCTGTTCAAAACTGCAATACCAAATTCTATGAATAATGGAAATCACACATCTGGTCACCAAGATTTTGCTGAGAGAAAAGTGAACTATAATTTTCATGCATCAGTTTAAGCACCTTGTCATAAGAGATTGCCGGAAGCAACCCTTCCAAATACTTGCCATAAAAACGTAAAGGAATGTCTTATGACAGAAAGTCTATGTATATTCTTCCCGCGTAAACTATTCATACTGGAACCGAATTGTCAATGGACATACTATTTTGTTATGTGCTTGATTTCTGATGTATACTTTGAGTTATCACAACTCTTTCCAAGTATTCAACTAGAAAAATAAAAAGAACTAACCCATGTATAAGAAAGTATCAATTATTATTATTTAGGCTCCCGTAACTATGTAAACACAAAAACAAAATCGAAAAGAAAAGAAAAACCTGAACAAAATATAATATACTGCAAATAAAAAATAAGACCAAATTGAAAGATATAAAACCAAAATCTCTGCCGAGTATTATGTTTCAACAAAACCAAAACATGAAGGTATTCAATTGAGTGTTATAACAATAGACTTCCAAATATTATTATTCCACAAACGCCTAACAAATGCATTTGTGAGAAAATAAAACATTACCAAAACACCAGCTGCCATATCCCTTGGCTTTAGTCGATATTCCCAGTAGGCTTCTACAATCCCAAGAGCTACATGGCACATGTCTACTGCAGCTGCATCAAGCCTTCTCACACCATAAACATTACAATTTAGGGATAAGACCAAGGGGGAAAAGGAGTTAAAAGTCATAAATATGAAGAGAGAGAGGGAACTAGGAAGTTAATTAATCCTAAAGCTAAAGCTCAAATAAAAATTGCTTAGCACTAAAAAGAAAGGTTATTACCCTGCTGATGTCGGTGAACTCTTTAAATAACTCTATGTTGGTGACCCATACGTCATCATGTTCATAACCAAATCCAGCAACAAGACAAGATCGTCCCACCTGAAATATGGAAGAGTATGGGCACAATAAAATATGAAATGGTTTCGCCTTTACACAGTACGCGTAACACATGAGATTGCTCATATTTCTCTCTTACACCTTTTCTAGTTTCTAACTTGCTACCCTTATGCCTAACATTCTGGTGGTGGTTGGAATTTCTGAAAAAAATTGGGTAAAGAAGAATGGAACTTTAATGAAAAGCTTCCGGTACTGTTCATTTTAACGAAAAACCACATTTGTACATTAAAAAGTCAAAGGTATGTTATGATTTTGTACATTTATTCCCCCCCCCAAACACCACTCAACCCAAGCTAAAACATTGGGCTAAAAGTCAAATTAGGGGTGGGCAAACGGGTACAGGAACCGCGGGTCGGGGCGGGTAATAGAGGTTCGGGGCGGGTACGGGCCGGGTCCTAATTTTGTAAAACAGAAAAGGGCGGGGCGGGCCGGGCCGTAGACATTTTCAGTTCGAGCCGGTTCCAAACATATTAAAAAACGGGTACCCGGACCGGCCCGTTTGTAATTAGAATGTACGGACGAGATTGAAGATCATATCTCTATCCAATCTTAACCGTTCGTTTTAGGTTTCCTTGTCCTATCGAATTCGACTCTGTCACTGTCTAATCTCTCACTCGAGTCTCAGTCTCTCTCGCCGTCTGTGAATCGTTCCTTCCCCTCCACCACCCCGACATCACGACGGTCCTGGCGACCACCACGACAGCCTAACAACTTCGACGGCATCCCAAACTTACAGAACCCAGTCACCCCACCACCCATCTTCTCGATTTGTCACTTATCTCTCAGTCTCACAGGTAAAAACCAACCTTTGTGTATATAACTGATCTGCATTTCGAGTTCTCTGCTTTATTTCGGGTGTTAAATTCCTAAATATTATGTGGGTCGAGTTTGATTTAGTTGTTTTTCTGCATTTCGAGTTCTCTGATTTTGAATCACCTGTTGTGTTTTTAGGTCAATTTTATGTGATTAGTGCCAGCATTTTTTAAGGATCTGAATCTGGTACTCAGTCTCTGTCTCACAGGTAAAAACTAAAAACCAATTGAATCTTGCCCTTTGGGTGTGAGATAGGCTGCGTGAGTCTATCTGTGTAATGTGATGTTTTATAGCTTATGTTATTGTTTCTATTTTCTTCTCATACTTTTCTGCTCTTGGTTTTGTGATTTGTTAAAAAAAAATAGAAAGATATTTGGCCCCAGCAGGTTTTGTAATTGTATGACTTTTGACTGTTTGGCTGCTCAGAAAATATGTCTGTCTAACTTTGAATGCTGAGAAAATGTTGGTAATCAAGTGTTAAAAACGTACAGTAAATGATGATTAGCTCATCACTTGACTATGTAAATATACGGATGAAAGTATTCACCCTTTTTTTTCTTCACTGTCCCGTGGATTTGGTTGTTGTTATCTGGTATTGTGTTGTGTGTGTGTGTGTGTGTGTTCCTGTGTGTGTGTTCTCTGTCTGTCTGTGCGTGCGTGTGTGTGTTCTGTGTTCTGCTTCTGTGTGTGTGTGTGTGTGTGTATGTGTGTATGTTCTGTGTGTGTATGTGTGTATGTTTTGTGTGTGTGTATGTTCTGTGTGTGTACAATAAATAGTTTAGTGACAATAGCTCACTCATCATGCATTTATCCGTTCTTGTTAACTCATCCCTTGTATACTTGGTCTTACTTTGTTTAAATTGGCTACTGACACAGGATTGTAAAAAGAATGCATATATGGAGGCAGAGTTGCACTGTTCAAATGCCATACAAATCATGGAAAGGAAGCTGAGAACAGCATGCCATGCTAGTGATGCTAATATTGATAATGTTGGGAAGGTAAACAATAGTGGGTTGCTTCTGTGGTCTTTAACATTTTCATTAATGTTTTTTTAATATTTGAATTCTCTTTTTCTAGGTTCTTGATGGTCTTCTATCTGACTATGAAGCAGCAAGTCATGGTCCAGCAAAATGGCAGAAACTGACCATGTTCTTACAGAAAAGGTTTGCCAATTGTCTTTATTTCCTTCTTTTTAATTAATGTATGAGTGCATATTAACGGATTGGACAAAATCCAAATTCACAGTTTTGAAGGGCCAAGACTGAGCTAACTATTCTGGGATTAGTTGGTTGATTTCTCAATTCCTTAAACGAGAAGGTAATTTCAAATTCATGTCCTCAAGTTCCTTGTTATACTTATATGCAGTTTTTATATATGTGCAGTTTTGATTTATACATGTGCAGTTTTGATTTATACATGTGCAGTTTGGTTTTATATATTTACAGATTCAATGAGGATAATATGAGGATAATATGATTGTGCAGTTTGGTTTTATATAAACTTTAAATGAGGATAATATGAGGATAATATTTACAGATTCAATGAGGATAATGTGCAGTTTGGTTTTATATAAACTTTAAATTTCAATGAGGATAATATGATGTTTATATTCTATTTTTGCTTACAGATTCAATGAGGAATTGAGGATTGTTGTTGGAATTTGGGCGTTGGATGATGTGGTTTTAATTTGAAATTTATTGCGGATGTCATGTTTATGTTGTTTTGGATTATTTGATTTTTGGAATTTGGATGTCTTGGACTTTCGGATATTGTGTATGTGGATTTCATTTTTAGATGTTGGAGGACGATGTAATATTGTTATTTTGGATGTATTGTTAAAATTTAATTTATGAACTTGGATATTAGACTTTGTATTTAGATTAGATGTGAATAATGGTGAATTTGTGCAAAATCTGCATAAATGCAGTGTCATTGTGATTGTGCAGTTGCAAATTGCAAACTGTGCAGTTTTCAAACTGTGCAGTGCAGTTAAAAAAAAAAAAAAAAAGGGTACCCGTGGACCCGGCCCGAACCGGCCCGTTTTAACCGGGCCGGGTAATGTCCGGTTCCTATACAAGAAAATCCAATCCCCGCCCCGTCCCGGCCCGTTTCGGGTAATGTCAGGTTCCTACAAACTTAGGTTCGGCCCGGCTCGGCCCAGCCCGTGCCCAGCCCTAAGTCAAATGCTAAAGCTAGGCCAAATCCCCCCCCCATGTGAGTGGACTTGTTGGCACTTGGGCCAGTCTCAGCCCGCCCACATGCCAACGCGCCCCACGCAATGGTTTTGCAAGGGTTTCCCGACAAGGTGGGCGCCACTGTCAGGCCGTGTATCAGCCACCCAAATATTCCCAACAGCTGTAATTCACATCCAAGGGTTGAGCTTTAGGGACCTTTGGTTGATCCAACGGTCCAGATTCAAATTTCATTTTTTTAGAATATGTTATTTTAAATCTAACGGTTGAAATCGAATATAATCAAATCTAACAGTAAATAAAAAGATCTAACGGTCCAAATTTAAATCTAACGGCTAAAATAATTAAAAAACATATATTTAACTCAAAATTCACCTAAAAACTCTATAAATACCTATGTATTTGTTCAAACATCCACACAAAACTCAATTTTCTCCTACAATTCTTCCAAATTAACTTTACCATTTCTTTCCATTTCCAAATTGTTCAACATGGCAAGAGAGCATATTAGAGGTCATAATTGGACCTGTGAGGAAGATGTTGCTTTATGTTTGGCATGAGTTTCTGTTAGCGAAGATGGTGCAGTTGGCACAAATCAAAATAAGAAGGTTTTGTGGGATAAAATCATTGCAAAGTTTGGTGCTGAACGGTTGGTGAAAGTTGAAAGTTTGGTGTTGAACGGTTGGTGAATTGAAAATTTAGTGTTGAACGGTTGGTGAATTAAAAGTTAGCCCATGGTTGAAAGATTGGTGAAAGTTGAAGGCTTGCTTTGTGAAAAATTGAGTGATTTTTCAATATTTATTGGAATTTAAATATTTTTATATTAAAATGTTTATAAAATTAATTTACGATAGTCTACATATTTATTTATTTTTAAATTTAATTTAAGAAAAACTGTTTCTGGGCTAAAAACTAAATTTTTCGGACTAAAAAATTTGACTTTTAGCCCAACGGTTGAAGATTGTCTAATATGAAGGAAAAGCAATAAGTGTTAATCAAGATACCACTGCAAATATTCTAGCATCCCATAAGATCAGACTTAGTCATCGACCGAAAATAACATGATTCGGCATAGTTACAGATTTCCATTTTTTTTCTTCTAGTATAAGAAATACTAACCTCATCAGTTTGGCTCACATGAATTTTTTGGCCATTACAAAATGCTCCCCCTCCTAATATAACACAGATTATCAATTGAAGCTCAACGTCAACAGTACACTTAGAAAATCAAATAAGGCAGAGGCAACTATTTAGACCGAACTTCCCTACCAGCACTAGCAGAAAATTGCGGGTATTCCAACACATAGGGCCCCCAACGAACTCGACCTGAAAATACAAATGGAAAGCCAACATTTTATTTCCCCACTATATCATTCATGGATGTACAGTATAAGATGATTTTTTGTCCACATCCTAACAGTTTCGAGCTTTTGAAAATAATGGTAAATCAATAATATTTATCACAGTAACAGAGTAAGAGATCCTGAGTTCAAATAATTGCATCGTAATCTTGTATAAGTTGAAGACATTTTTGACACTAATAATGAGGCTCACATGTGAAGGGGAGTACTGGAAAATCAAATAGACATCTTAACATATCATGGAATCATGCAAGCAGCATGTCAAATAAAATCTTCTATATGTGATCAGCAGCAACAGGTTTTCCTCGAAATAAAACTCCAACAGAAACCGCAAAGCTAGGATAACCATGTGCAAAATTTGTTGTTCCATCTATGAAGATATCAGAGGTTAGATAAGACAAAACAAAGAATTGTCAGGTTACTCTTATAAAAGGTATCTGGATATAAAACGCTACCCCAGCTACCACCCTAATAGCTCTTTCCAATTTCATATCAGCCATCAGAAAGTTCGTCTCTAAACATTCACACACACACACAGATATATATATATACATATATATATACATACAGGCCTTTTAAGGGAAGGGATCCTCATTTTTCAAAAAAATAGGGACATCCTCTTGACCATTAGATTTGATTTTAATGAAATTATGTGGCTGAGATTAAATCACAGGCCACAGAATCTCAACCACAGGATTTCATTGAAGCCAAATCTAACGATCAAGATGATGTCCCCATTTTTTTTTTGAAAAATGGAGATCTCTTCGCTTAAAGGCTTCTTATATATATATATATATATATATATATATATATATATATATATGATATGAACTTCCGGCTATATACATAAACATAATATATGCTAATTATTGCTACTATTGGTTATGAAAAAGTAAAAGTCAAAAGTATTGAGGTAAGAATTATGAAAGCTGAAAATTTTACTGTAAATCATGTTCCGAAACACTAATATCATGAAACCATATCATACTTGATGGAGTCTTGAAAAACCCAATATGCACAAACACACCTATACTGCACCTTAGAAGATACTAACCTAAAGGATCAATGCACCACATATAATCAGATGATATATCTCCAGTTATTCCACCCTCCTCTCCAAGAATAAGCTAGGTGATATTCGAAGTTCTTTCTCACAACTTCTAAAATTGTGGCTTCACTCTTTTTATCTGTGTTGCAAATAGTTTTCATATCACATGAAAATTCATGCTAGCCTGTTATACTTTTTAAGAATGAGAACGGAACACATGATAAGTGAATTTTCCTTCATGATTAGTGAATCTTGCTTGTAAAAGGTTCGACCTTCACATGTAACACTACTACAAAAGGGCATATGACTGGCGTCATAAAAACCGACAAGAAATACCAATTACTGTCGGATTTTTGATAAAAATCCGACATTAAATCGTGCAATGTCGGATAAAGGAACCGACACCAATGCCACCGTCACCAATAGGGTATTGACGTCGCTTAGCCCCCTTAATCCACCACCAAGAAGCAAAGTAATATAAAATAAAAAGAACAACAGCGTCACTTAAAAGTGACATCAGTACTTACGTCGCTTATAAGCGACATGAAAATCTGACATGATGGCGGTCCAAACCAACGTTAAGTAACAAATAAACAATTAAAATATCATTTTACTGTCCGTCCAAACCGACATCACGTAATTTTAATAAATAAAATAGTAAAACTACTTTGGGTCGTAACCGACATTACCTAACATCTTGATAAATAAAATAATTAGGCTGGTGTCATCCATAAGGGACATCAGATATATTAAAAATAAAAAATTTTAATAAATTTTCCAGCTACTGTCAGTTTTTATGCTGATGTCGTCCATATGAAAATAATTCCAACCATTAACAAAAACAGTTCTCACACACTAACAATTATACATGATAACAAACATTTTACATTTCACATAACGTACAAAAACTCATCCGTCATAACAACACTAAATCCGACATTACAAACACAACATACAAAAAAAAAAATACAAACTATAAAAGCTAGCACAAGTGTCATACATAGCCGCCAAGAAAGCGAACCACATACACTACACAACAGAATTGGATCCGAGCGTGACCTGGTTCCTTCTCCAGATCATCCTTGTGATCCAAAAACCCTCGCCATGTCAACATCTAATGGAGAGCACCTGCGAGCATTCCAGAAAACCCTCCAATTGGAAAATCCGGGGAAATCCCATAAGCAGAAGGCATCTAAAGTCGATATACAGGCATTTGATATGGCGGCTGCTGCATGTATGACATGGGCGGTTGCTGCATGTATGCCATGGGTGGTTACTGCATGTATGTCATGGGCTGTGTCGGATACATCGGATACGAAGAAGGTTGCTGATTATAGCCTATATAAGGATATACAGGTGTAGCAGGAGGCTGACTGTTGGGTTCCTTGTGGGCATGGATAAGGAAGAAGAGGCCGACTCTGGCCTGACTGTTAGGTTCCCAGGCTATATGGTGGTTGCGGCTGCAATTTTTGCATTAAGAACGTAAGCAATTGATTATGTTGCTGTTGCTGGCTGCATGTTTGTTCAAGCTTAAACTCTAGGGCTGTCATCCGTTTAGCATCAGCTTCTTGTTTCCTTCTCAATTCATTGTTCTATGTCATCAACATTGCTACTGAACTTTTGGATGATCTTCTGGAAGAATTAGAATAGAAGTTGAAGAAGATGCATACGACACCATATCCGGAGTCACCCCATGTCCATACCCTCGTACTCTATTATGACACTCAGAACCCATCGTCTCCACATAAACTCGGGTTCTAAGCTCATAAGTATCTTTTTGTCCAGACTCGATCATAGTTTGAATATTCCCATCCATAGTTGTCTTGCAATAAAAATTTTAAAAATAAAAATTCAACTATAGATAATAAAAATTAATAACAATCATATACTACCACGAAAAAATTAATTACCCCAGTGCGCTCAGATGTTTCATCAATCCAAGTGCTATCTCTACGAGTATGACAGTGATGAAAAAATGAAACAGGATTCACCTCATTCCTATACTTTTTCCACTATAATTATAAGTCAATGAAAAAAAAAACAATTTTCAGCAACCATCAAATTAAAAATAAATTTCTACCAATTATGTATTAAATTTAAAATTCTCTCCAATTCCTGAAAATGTACAACCCTTACAAGTTTTACCCGAACTCTTGCAAAAGATTTTGCACCAGTTGTGTGGTTCATTGTTTTCAACCACCTCTTATGCCTATTTTTTGTGGCAATCTCCTGAAAATAAAAAGAATTTATTAAACAAATTTCAAGCT